CCGAGGAGGCAGATTCCCCGGGGTCCCTGCTTTATTAGTGGACTTCTTCTCATTCGCCCTGATTTCTGCTCATATATCTGGCTTTTGGAGCTTCTCTCTGCTTCTTTAGAAAGAAGGCTGTATAAAACCCCCCTCACCACTGCCTGCATCCCATCTGATTTCTTCCCATTTGCTGTGTATAATTCTTCCTCCAAGACTGTTCTTCCTTCCTGGCAATGTCACTTCCAAACTAATAATTCTTCCCTCACTGCCCTTAAATAGCTGCTTGGGGTCTAGTTTGGGGCCTGCATAAAGAACCTCTTCTCTTTTCTCGTTTTAGCTGTAGGTATAAATTCATGGCCAAAAGCCTTATTGATACACAATTTTCCATCTGATGCCTGCTTACTCGGAAGTAAGTCCTACTCTGCTCCAATGTGCGGAGCCAGCAGTTCAGGCGGTTCTGCTAGCAGGAGGCCAAAGGACCCGGAGTGGTTTGCAACCAGGGTGGTTTCCAAATGCTGCCCTTTTTGATACGTTTCCATTTATTCTTTTGCGTGGGGACTGGCCAGATTGAAACCCCCCACCCCATTCAAAAGAAAGACTTGCAAAAGATTTCAAAGGCGGAATTTCCAAAAGATGACACTTTGTCCTGAATTTAAGACAAGTCAGTCGAAAACTCATGGGCTTTTTTGGCGTTTATTTGGGGCCTTGTCTAAAAAAGAAAAAGTTCTACAATTTTGGAGTTGTCCTGGTTTCTACTTTTTGAAATATGGCAACCCTAATTATTCTGGGCTCTGCTTGAACGGAAACTCCCTTTTAGAGCTCAGTCAGTAGAGCATGAGACTCTGAATCTATGGGTCGGGGGTTTGAGCCCCACTTTGGGCAAAATATTCCTGCATTGCAGGGGGCTGGACTAGATGACCCTCGTGGTCCCTTCCAACTCTGCAATTCTAGGATTCTACCATGTGTAGACGAAAGATTGCCTTTGTCGCCGGAAATCACACACCCCCCTCCATTAACACGTGTATTGCACAAGCACCACACTCACACATACACGCACCTCCCCTCCCTGGCCCTAGAGATATCCCTTTAGAGGGCCATCTCTTTAAAAAAAAGCCTTCCGTAAATAAGGAAGCGCTAGCCTGACAGCTTTCCGCCATAGCGCTCCACATCGCCCTATCTTTATTACGAGTAGACCGGCCGACTCAACTCTGCGGCAAGCGACGGCCGCCTCAGCCAATCAACATTGTCGAACAGCGCCCCTTGCGGCGGCCACGCTGGTACTGCAGGCTGCAAGCGGCTGTTCCCTCACCTTTTGACAGCTCTCAATACATTGTTTCCGAGTTTAATGGACCATGACTGATCTAATCAAAATGTAGCAAGCTACTTCCGAAAGGCGAAGGTACTCTGAACTTCAAGGACAGTGTTCTTCATAAATTCACTAAAAATCAGCCGTACCTTGGCTTCTCACCGGACCACTTTTATTCTGCTGCATATTGCTAGGACTATCAAAGGGGGGTGGCCTGATATCAAGCGGCCATAATCCTTTCACCGAGCAGTCACGTACTCTGCGTTCCTTCCAAGTAGACGTGACAACCCTGATAGCCATCGCTGATGGGCTCAGACGGAAGGCTGTCAGGGATACAATGAACTGCATATTTTAGTGGATTCTACACGGACCTTCACAAAGAACTGTGGCCGGATTCTCCTCAGGGGGCAGGAAACTTCGCCCTTCTCTTTTGTTTTCGTACATGACTCATGTGGGGAGGGGAGAGGAGGCTCCGGCCAGGTGTCAGGACACTCAGATTACCTGTGTAACCCCTCCTCAACTCCTCCTAATTTTAATGTAATCGTGATGTAAATATGATGTAATTTTGGGGGTGTAGCGTAGGGGATTAGCAACTTATAAAAGTTAGGGTTGTCCTTTGTTCGGGGCTTCCATCTTGTTTCACCTCGTGGACGGTGGGAGCCCTGTCGCGACAGTCTTCTTCAAAATAAAGACCAAGCCTACTGGCTGCTGTTTTGCTCTGAATTGCTCTGGTCGGTGTCTTCGTTTGTCCAAGAGAGCCCTCGGATTTTCCGGTAACACCTTCTTGTGGGCAGTGGAGGAATGATGTAATGTTGGTTGGTGGGAACTGTTCTTGAGTGTTGCCTTGTCACACACACGCAACACCACAACAGTCATGTGAAAGGAAGGGGGGAGCATTTATGCAGGCTGATGTCCATCCATCCAGCTGCCCAGGCCCCAGCACCTCCCCCTAACAGTGAAGGGTCCCAGTCTAGAAATCCTCCCTTCCTGCTGGAGATGAGGCAGTGAGGGATTCCAGACAGACAGAGGCGTCCTTGCTCTGGAATTCCCTTGCCAGCAGGGAGACTTCAAAAGCCCCCCCCCCATGCCTCCCCCTTCCCTCATTTAGTATGGAGACTTCTCATCTTGTGGCTGGGTCATTTTAAATCCAGTTTTTTTCTCTCTCCCTGCAATTTTAATACTGTTGTTGGTTTCCTTGTTTAAATTATTCTGTTTACTAGTGATATTTCACATAGCGTTTGTGAATGCAAAGCAATTGTGGCTCTTGGGTAGAAATCTGTGATCTAGACATGGCCTAGTCAATCACACCTTGTTTCAACATCCATCTAACACAAGGAAAAGAAAATCCCCCCATCATTTAGCCCGGACACTGAGGTCCACTTCCGAGGGTCTTCTGGCAGTTCCCTCATAATTACAGGGAACCAGGCAGAGGGCCTTCTTGGTAGTGCCGCCCTCCCTGTGGAACACACGCCTCCATAATAATTTATTAATAATTATTATTATCATCATCATCAGATGTCAAAGAGAGAAAGTAACTTTTAGAAGACCTCTGAAGGCCTTCAGGGAAGTTCTTAATGTTTGACATTTTACATGTTCCTTTGTCATAGAACCAAGCTGGCACCATCCATCCATTGGTTCTGGCAGGGTTCCAGTTCATGGTCAAAAAGATTAAACAGATGCACGTTGGGCTGATGAGGAGGAGGTGAGGGACCAGGAGTGAGACCTTGGGGTCATGTTAGGTAACTCTGGGAAATTGTTGACCCTGTGTGCACTGGCTCAGGAAACTGCAAATCTCACGCTGGGGATGTTTAGGGAACCGATTGAAAATACACCTGCTACTCTCCTAATGGTTGTAGTGCAGATCTTGTTGCATGGCCAGCTGGCTAGCCCCAGGTGGGTCATCTCCTTCCAGCCGTCCCGCTGCGAAGACCCATCAGCCTCTGCTCCGATGTAAATCAGCGACCCAGGCTTCGAAGCCAGGGCACACTATATCAGCAGAGTGAACTGCGGACACAGAATAGGCGTGAGGCTTGTGGAAGCATACTACAACTACGGATTTATTAATCATAAATCAGGACAAAGAAACATTCTGTCTCTCTCTTTGTATTCTCAGAGAGACAGAGAAAAGCAAAAGCTATACACACAACGGAAGTTCCCAGCATACTGTGCTGGAATGTAAACAGACACGTACCAATCTCATGGCTGCTCCTTAAGTATGAATGGAAATTATTTATGGAGATCTATGGTGTGAACAAATTTGGAGTACTGTGCACAGTTCAGTATCTGGGACCTTTCAGTTTGGAGAGAAGACGAGGAAGGAAGGACATGTCAGATAGAATGGAGAAAGATGATAGAGAAAAGCCCCCCCCCCAATAAAAATAGAACTCATGGAATCCAGTGAAGCAGGATTGGTGGAAGATTTAGGAGAGCGAAAAGAAGGGTCTCCCCCCCCCTTCTCTGCATCCAGCCAGTCCATGATGGCAACAGCAACAATAAGATAATTACATCAATAGTATGCATTGTGCTCTGCTGGCAGGAGGACTCCCTCGGATCATGTCCAGTTGCAAAAGTGCAAGGAGGCTTTCCACCCTCAGGGCCCAGAGAGGGATCGTGCCTTGGGGCAGCTGGTGGAATTGGAGGAAGCTGACCCTTAGCACTCTGGGTTTGGGACCTACCTGATCCTCCTTCCACATTATACTCATCCATATTGTTTCTCGCCTGCGTCATTTTGGGGATAGCATTCTACACACACTTGCGTCACCATGTGCCTCCCTCCCAACATTGCTCTGAGATGCTCTGGTATGGCCCCTTCTTCCCTGTGCCCCCTTCCCTCCTCATGCAAGACGTGCAGCTGGGAACAGAGCCCTTCCTGGTTCTGCCAGGGAATGCCCCTTTTATTTCTCCTGCCACCAAATATATCTATACACATTATATCTGACATAATGCATCTATAAATCAAAAGAATAGATCAGGGTTTCAAGATTACCTTCGGCATATAAGTAGGTGCTTTCAATCTTTCTGTGTCTTCATGGTTCCACTATTGCAACTAGAACAATGGGACTTATGCTGCTGTTCCTATAATATTAGTCTAACTCTGCTTCCAAAGCAACACCACCAGTCTCAGCTCCACTTTGAGCAACTCTCCATTCCCAGATACAAAGATTTCCAACTCCCTCCACCAAACGCCAAAACCAGCTCACTCTCAGTCCATCCTCATTCAGAAGCAACACTACAGATTCACATTAAATATTATATTATGCTTACTATTGTGAAATTTTACCTTCATTACTTTAAATAAACGTCTAGACCACGTTACATACAAACAACAGAAGCTCACATACGCTGCATGCAATTCAGATTGATTTCTTGTTACTGATGTGAAAGAAAGTGTTGACTTGGAGAGAACCAGATTCTACACTCTATAAACCATTTCTCTTCTTTGAGTTAATTCATGGCATGTAGGTGTTACCGCTCTTAGAGCTCTTACCCCTCAGAGTCTTTTGATTGTTTATAATACTTCCACTACAATGGAACTTCTGTCCACTTCCATGGGACTTATATTGTTACTCCCCTGTATGAGTTTGTTGATGTTTTGTAAGAACTCCACTTGTACTGAAGCTCCTTCCACACTCCAAGCATTGAAATGGTTTCTCCGTTCTGTGAGTCCATTGATGGTATCTAAGGTGTCCACTCTGACTAAAGCTCTTTCCACACTCCATACATTTAAATGCTTTCTCCCCCGTGTGAATCAGATGATGGTTTCTAAGGTGTCCACTCTCAGTGAAGCTCTTTCCACACTCCATGCATTTAAATGGTTTCTCCCCCGTGTGAATAAGATGATGGTTTGTAAGGTGGCCACTCCGACTGAAGCTCTTTCCACACTCCATGCATTTAAATGGTTTCTCTCCCGTGTGAATATGATGATGGTTTGTAAGGAGTCCACTCCGACTGAAGCTCTTTCCACACTCCATGCATTGAAATGGTTTCTCACCTGTATGAGTCCGTTGATGAATTCTAAGTGTTCCACTATCAGTGAAGCTCTTTCCACACTCCATGCATTGAAATGGTTTTTCACCTGTATGAGTCCGTTGATGAATTCTAAGTGTTCCACTATCAGTGAAGCTCTTCCCACACTCCATGCATTTAAATGGTTTCTCCCCTGTATGGGTCCGTTGATGCTTTCTTAGTGTTCCACTGTTAATGAAGCTCTTACCACAGTCCATGCATTTAAATGGTTTCTCCCCCGTGTGAGTCCGTTGATGAATTCTAAGGGTTCCATTGTGACGGAAGCTCTTTCCACATTCCATGCATTTAAATGGTTTCTCCCCTGTGTGTGTCCGCTGATGAATTCTAAGTTTTCCATTGTCACTGAAACTTTTTCCACATTCCATGCATTTAAATGGTTTCTCCCCCATGTGTGTCCGTTGATGTTTTCTTAATGTGCCACTATCAATGAAGTTCTTTCCACACTCCATGCATTTAAATGGTTTCTCCCCCGTGTGAGTCCGTTGATGTCTTCTAAATTTTCCACTGTCACTGAAGCTCTTTCCACATTCCGTGCATTTAAATGGTTTCTCCCCCGTGTGAGTGCGTTGATGAATTCTAAGGTTTCCACTATCAATGAAGTTCTTTCCACATTCCATACATTTAAATGGTTTCTCACCAGTGTGAGTGCGTTGATGAATTATAAATTTTCCACTTCCAGTGAAGCTCTTTCCACATTCCATGCATTTAAATGGTTTCTCCCCAGTGTGAATCCATTGATGAATTCTAAGTTTTCCACCCTCAGTGAAGCTCTTCCCACACTCCATGCATTTAAATGGTTTCTCCTCCTTGTGAATCCATTGATGTCTTCTTAGCGTTCCACTATAAGTGAAACTCTTTCCGCACTCCATACATTTAAATGGTTTCTCACCCGTGTGAGTCCGTTGATGTTTTCTTAGTGTTCCACTGTCAATGTAGCTCCTTCCACACTCCATACATTTAAATGGTTTCCCCCCCACGTGAGTCTGTTGATGACTTCTGAGTACTCGATTATCAGTGAAGCTTTTTCCGCACTCCATACATTTAAATGGTTTCCCCCCTGTGTGAATTTGATGATGTATTCGAAGTGTTCCTCTATCAATGAAGCTCTTTCCACACTCCATGCATTTAAATGGTTTCTCCCCTGTGTGAGTCTGTTGATGTTTTCTTGGTGTTCCACTGCTACTGAAGCTCTTCCCACACTCCATACTTTCAAATTATTTCTCCTCTCTCCTTTCACACTCCATACATTTAAATGGTTTCTTTGTTAATCCTATTGGACATCGCCCACCAGAATTCTGATTGCCTTCTCCATTGTCTTCTTTTGATGGGGTGGGGTAGGGAGAAAATCCTATTTGTTTTCTAGGAAGAGAACAAAGGAATATTACACACATGGATTACAACCTCCACTTATTTTAACATCTTGTACATTCTCTCCTGTCCTCCATATGTTCCAAATTTTTCGGAAATGCAAATGAAATAATGTCAAATAATAGTAATGCATCATCAACATTTCATAACCCTTAATTATAGTTAATGAAGCAGCATTATCTCAGAATACGGTAGACTTTTGGGGTTTACTTTTTACATAAAGTGGTTTCTCACAGGAAAGGGAGCTGCTCTATGTCCATGAACCTGGCCAATATTCATCAGGGTCCTAAGTTCACCATGAAGTTCTTCATCCTCTGTACAATAATCTGTTGGGTGTAGTGAAGGGTTAACCTTCTGTGCCTCGAGCCTGAGAGGAGGAGACAACAAGGGAAGTAAGCCAGGACGTGAGGAAAGCAGCTTGGAATGCTGTGTACTGAGTGGAAATCGAAAGCATTCTGTTACGATGCTGCAAGCAGAGAGAGAAGATGCAGCTTAACACGGGTGGCTATTGGAGATTGTAAATACGCTATTTTGTTCCAATAAAGAGATATTAGGACAGAAGAAACGTTTGGGACTGATTCACTGCTCTTTCAACACGCGACGGCTGTGCAACTTTGCTAATTGCTAATTGCTTTACGACCTGCAGAGGCTCGCAGGGGAAGTGTGGCTGGGCACCGAACAATAAAGCAATAAAACTATCGAACATAATCCTCCACCCCTTGGGCCACATTTTGTCCCCTTCAACCTCTAGATCTTTATTAATCACCTGCACAGTCCCTTTGGCCTAAGGACTTCCATATTGACCATTTTGGGAGACCCATATGTAAGTCTAGTGACAAGGCTTAGTGCTTGTGGTCGGCTGAAGGAGTGCTCAGTTGGAGAATGTTCTTGGGGTGGGACCTCCATCTCTCAGCCTTGCATTATTGAATGGAGAGAGCTGGAGATGCAGAAGGAAAGCAGCTGGAGCCTGACGGCTGGGAAGGCCAGATTGAGACACCCACCCCAATTATGATTTATAATAATTATATGCCACCGGGTCTCGCACCTGCCTCCTGACACTGGCTTATCTTAGCGGAGATTCCCTGTCCAGGCCTCTCTCACTGTTCTTCCTCCTTTGCCCTGGGTGGCCAAGGGCTTCTGGATATTCTAGCTCTGCTCCAACTGGGAATTATTTATTAAATTGTTATACCTCTTTTCATTTGAAGATTACAAGATAAAAATATGTGTGACACTGAAAAAGGTGAGTATTAAAGGTGAATAACACGGATTGTGGGAAAGAAAAGAAAGGAGATGAAACCCGTGGTGTGTCCATCTGAATGTAATATTATAATAATAATAATAATAATAATAATAATAATAATAATAATGAAGTGTAAAGAAGAAACCAATCTTCAAATCAGTTTCATATTCCCTGGCTGTATTTCTCAGCCACGATTGTGACTCGGAATCTTAGCCACACTTTATTCTAGAATATCAACTGGATCTCTTTGTAATAGGAGCCAGACATCCCTGGGATTCCATCCAGATATTCCTTTAGTGTGGGCAGCAGCAGCAGCGGAGAAAGGAAGGAAGCAACTTTGGGGGCAAACCATTTCCTTCAGAAGGTCTTCCCCAGTGGCCGGCAGGGTTGATAAACTGCTCAGTGGGGACACCTTGGATTTATAGTGTTAGGGTCTGGATACCAATCACAATCCCTCAGAAATGTCTCAAGAACCCTTAAGATCCAGTTCCACCAACTCCCAAGTAACACTGAGCCCTAGAGGAACCTTCTATGCTGAGTTGAGGCATCTCTGGCCCTCCAGATGTGGTTGGACCCATGGCCTGGGAGTATGGGAGTCTTATCTGGTGGGACAAACTTTTCCCTTCTTCCCCCTCCCCTGAAAACGCTTTCATTTCTCCCTCCTCCGTGATCTCCAACATCTTCCTGATACAGTCCAACCAACTGCTCACATTCCCAAATCACCCTGCACCATTGACTTCCCAAGGCTGCTGCATTGTGTCTGGGACACTGGCAATGGGACAGCTCCTTCCACTGGATGAGAGGATAGAGGGTTAAATCAGGGCTGGCCAAATGGGACTCAGCTCCATCCCCTCCTTGCCCTTCCCTGCATCTCCTGCCTGAGGGGGCTGTCTCAGTTTCCCTCACGGTGAAGCAGGCCCTGAAAACAGTCTTCTCTCCCCCCCCAAAAAAATACAGGAAACACGACAAAGGCGGCCCTGGAGTGTCACTGTGGAACATAACAACAACAACAACAACAACAACAACAACAACAACAACAACAACAACTGGTTGTAAGTCCCTTTGGGCTGCCCTGGGCAAGAGAAAGAGACTAATAGGTTTAATAAAAATAAAGGGGGGAACATAGCAATCTTCCCAATCTCTTAAATTCCACAGATTTAAGAGATTTGATATAGTGGGAATCATGGAAAGCAGGTGAGAAGGAGTTGGGCCCAGGTGTCTCTGGGGGGGAGACCTTTAGATGCTTCTCCACGGAAACCCAGGCATGTGGGAGAGACTGGAGTTGCCCAGAGAGAAGCCTCAAAGGCGGGGGGGAATAATAAAGGGGGCTTCCTCCCTTTCCTCTTTCCCCCCATGGTTGGACTCGCTCTAACAGCCCCCAGCGCCCCCTGCAGCTCCTGATCTGGGACTTGAGGCAGGGCAAGGACTGAGCTTCAGGGGAGGAGAGGGTGGCTGGATCGGGGCTCCTGCTCAGGGATCTCTCCCTGGTCTACGCGGAGTCCTGGCAGATTCCTGGGCAGGAGGGAGAAGTCAAGGCAGGCGGCCCCCAGGCCCTCTCTCTTTCTCCAAGATGGCTTTGATCCCTCCCCAGGGATGCTCCCTTCCTCCCTCCGCCCCCCCCGTCCCCTTTCCCCAGAGGCCCCCCTGGCCGGCTCAGCCTTCCTGCCAAATCTCTCCCCATCCCAGGAGGGAGATGGGGGGGGTCTCCTTCCAGGCCTCTCTCGCCCCCATTAACCCTTCCATGGACTCCCCACTCTCCCCCCAGAGGGGACCCACCTAGCCTAGGATGGCGGCGCCCCAGGGATTCCTGCCAGGGGGTTCAAGTCCCAGCCCTGGGGGGGGTCTCCCATTTTTATTGCCCCAAAGGCGCCCAAGGGGGGGCAGGGGAGTTGAGCATCTCTTGACAGCTGAGCATCTCCTTGCGCTGCAAAGGAGCTCTTGCAATGCAAACCCTGTCGGTGCTCCCTCTGCAGGAAGCCCCCCGCCCCCCCGCCGCATTTCCCATAGTAAAAGGCGGGAAGGCTGATCTGGGGGGGGCGTGCAATGCAATCCCTGCGAAAGGAGGGGCTCCGATCTCCAGCCGGATTGCATGCATCGGGGCCTCTGCTGATAGCGCCCAAGATGTGAGTTGTTCTTGGGGGGTCTCTGCCCCCTTCCCCCCCGCCCTTCGCCCCCTTCCCCGCCCTACAGCTTTACCTCTTTGTCCTCTCTGTCCCTCCACTTCCATCGCTCGCTCTGCTATTCCGATTTCCTTTCTCGGGGGTCTCCAAGGAGGCGCCCCCTCGGGGGGAGGGGCTCCTTTCCCCTCCCCTCCGGCTTCCTTTCCGAATGCGTCTGCCCATAGAGCTACGAAGAAGAGCCGCCCCGCCGGAAGGGGGGTGGGAGCAGGCGAGGCCGGAGCGGAGGGGGGCAAATTGGGCAAGCTTTAGGCACCGGAGTTTTTCCGGGGGGGGCGGCTCCTTCCCTGCCGGCAGCTGAAACCAGCTCCTTCTTCCGCATGCAAAGGAACGGAGCCGCCACTGATGCGCTTCCCTCCAGCGAAAGCTGCAGAACCCCCCAGTCTACTGTTGTACAGGGGCGCCCTCAGCAAGGGAGGGGGCAGGTGTAAAGTTGAAATTATTGTTGTTGTTGTTGTTGTTATTATTATTATTATTATTATTATTATTATTATTATTATTATTCCACCAATCTAGCTGGACAATTTACAGTGCACATAAAAACATCAAACATTTAAAACCTCCTGATACAGGGCTGCCTTCAGACGTCTTCTAAAAGTTGTGTAATTCTTTATCTACTTGACATCTTAGAGGTTCCCTGTAACTTTGCTTCTCACAGTGAGGGAACCACCATCAGACGCTTGGAGGCGACTCGGTGTCCGGGCTGAATGATGGGAGTGGAGACGCTCCTTCAGGTTTAGGTCTTTGAAGGTCAGCACAAACACTTTGAATTGTGCTTGGAAATGCCAGTGAAGATCCTTTAGGACCAGTGTTATATGGTCCCGGCAGCTGCCCCTTGTCTCCAGTTTAGCTGCCCCAGTCTGGATTAATTGTTGCTTCTGGGTCACCTTCAAAGGTAGCCCCACGGAGAGCACATTGCAGTAGTCCAAGCGGGAGATGACCAGAGCATGCACCACTCTGGGCAGACAGTCTGCGGGCAGGGAGGGTCTCAACCTGTGTACCAGATGGAGCTGGTAGACAGCTGGGTGTGATTATGGTGGAATCTCCCCCCCGGGGGGGGGTAACAGACATAAAGGAGTGGGCAGAGAGGGTCCCAGCCGACGTACCAGATAGAGCTGGTAGACAGTGTCAGGAGCCCAGGCTGCCGTCTTGATAACACAGCATGCAAGTCATAATTAGCTAGAAGATTTATTGCAAAACAAACAATCTGTCTCAGACGCTCTATCGGAGCTTCCGTTTCTTTTGATTCAGTTGACCCTTCTGAGGAGTGCTTCCTGGTTCTGCAGAATATCCTGAACCTATGACCCTTATGTTTCTGGGTTTCTTTCCTATCTAATATCTTTCCCATTCATCTACTCCTTGATGGACAGCTGTGAGTCAAGACTGATTCCCAGGCTGCACACCTGGTCCTTCAGGGGCACAGTTAGCCCATTCAGGACCAGGGAGTCCTCCACACCAGCCTGCCCCCTGTCCCCCAAAAACAGTACTTCTGTCGTGTCAGGATTCCACCTCAATCCATTAGTCACCATCCATCCCCAACCGCCTCCGGACACTCACACAGGACCTTCACCACCTTCACTGGTTCCGATTTAAAGGAGAGGCAGAGCTGGGTATCTACATACTGATGAACACCCAGCCCCAATCCCCCCCCCCGCAATGATTTATCCCAGCCGCTTCATATAGATCAGGGGTGGCCAACTCCCGAGACACTGTGATCTACTTTCAGCATTAAAATCTGGCAATGATTTACCCCCCCTTATTTGCGTTCAGGTCAAAGTTGTTGAGGAGGAAAGCCCCGTTTATATACAAATACTTTCTTGGGAGGGAAGTTTGGTTTTGGGGGGTCAGGGTTAAAGGCAAGGGTCAAAGGGGAAAAGTCACTCACAATTATATCACTTTGATGAAAACAGCCACAAAGAGAAAGCTCCTTCTTCCCTTCCACTGATCAGACAACAATGGAGGGGGGGCGAGGGGGGCAGGAGTCAGTTTCAAGGACGCTGAGGAAAAGGAGCCAGAGATCGACCCACGATCTACCAAAACCTCGTTGGGATCTACCAGTAGATCGCAATCGACCTGTTGGACATCCCTGAGATAGATGTTCTCCTTGAGGGAACCAGCAAAAACCTTTGGCGGAGGACCTCAGCCTTGCGGGGTGGAGACACTTCTTCCGGTCCACAGGGCCAAGGCCGTTTAGGGTTTAAAGATCAGCACCAACACTTTGAATTGTGCACAGAAACATTTTGGAGATGTAATGAGACTGAGGGATCGTACTGTCATATGTGGGGGATCTGTAAGAGGGTAAAAGCATATTGGGAAATAATTCATAATGAATTGAAAAAAAATGTTTAAATGTACTTTTCAAAAAAACTACAACCGAGACGGACATTCCCAGGTGTTGGAAAAACCTATTGAAATATACTTGGAGTTGTGTAGTGATTTCATGTTCTTTATTGCAGCTCGTAAACAGTGAATGAGTCCCCCCCCCCAAAAAAAACCTAAGGCTTTATATACATTATTTACACAATGGGCCATGCCTGATTGGCTGATTCACTTCCTCCTGGGGCGTGATTGGGCTGCTTCTGCAGGCGAATCAGGTTGTTGTATTCTGGGATCCTACCTGCCTATTGTTCTAGGATCCAAGGTCAGTACATAACAGCTATTTATGTATGCCACAGCTACTACTGTACTATGTTTTGTCAGCCCAAAAATGGAAAATGAGCTAAGTCGCGATTAAAGAAGAATGGCAACTTAAACTGATGGAATATGCACAGCTTGTGGACCTAACAAATAGAATAAAAGAACAAGAAGAACATACAGTGGTACCTTGGGTTACATATGCTTCAGGTTACATACGCTTCAGGTTACAGACTCCGCTAACCCAGAAATAGTGCTTCAGGTTAAGAACTTTGCTTCAGGATAAGATCAGAAATCGGGCTCTGGCGGCGCGGTGGCAGCAGGAGGCCCCATTAGCTAAAGTGGTGCTTCAGGTTAAGAACGGTTTCAGGTTAAGAACGGGCCTCCGGAACGAATTAAGTACTTAACCCGAGGTACCACTGTACGTTTAAAGAAGTTTGGGAAATGTTTATTGAATATATGGAGGGAAATTGTGTTTATCTGAAAATGTGGGCAGCATTAAGATAACTTCTTTTTTAAAAAATATTTTTTGTTTATTGAAAGAATTTTAGCATTGTCAAACATTCAAATTACATATTATAATTTCAGTTACCACCCCTACCCCCGCGACATCCTCCAACTTCTTTTCCTGGATTATAACATATTTATTTCTTCTGCTTATACTTTTATATACCTTATATACTAAAATTATAGTTGTAGCATTTATCTGGTCTTAACATTTTCCCTTCATATTTATATTTTCTATTTATGTTTGTCCATTGTAAGTGTATTACTCAAATCCTGCGAGTTCATTTAAATCCATTGTTTCTGTATGTACATTGTAAAAGGTTCCCAATCTTTTAAAAAGTCATTATTATCTTTATATTTGAGCCTCTCAGTTAACTTTGCCATTTCAGAGTATTCCATCAACTTTTCTTGCCATTGTTCTCTTGTTGGTATTTCATCGCTTTTCCATCTTTGTGCTAGTAGAATTCTGGCCGCTGTTGTCACATAAATAAATAATTTTTTCTTGTCTTTTGGTATATCTTTTGGTATATCTTGATTGACATCGCCTCTGTTGGGACTACCCACCAAGGAGTTTTTTGCTCTAATAAATCTTTATATTTTCCCCGTACTTTTATCAATGCTTTCCTAATTATATGATTATGAAATCCTTTATGTATCTTCTATTTCTTGTACCATAAACACGCAAGTCAACCAAATCTGTTATCATGTCCCAAATCTAATAGATCAGTGTTTTCTAATTTAATCCAATCCCGGATCCAAGTTATGCAGCTTGCTCACAATACAATTTTAAATCTGGAAGAGAGAGTCCTCCTTGATCCTTAACGTCTGTTAGTATTTTATTCTCGGTTTCTTCCCTTTCCAGATAAATTTTGATATATCTTTTTGGCACTTCTTAAAGGAAACTGCATCGCTTATTACCAGTATTGTTTGGAATTAAAGCAGCATTTATCTTGACTGCTGTTATTCTTCCTAATAAGGAGAGATTCATTCTTCCCCATATTTCTTGTTGTTGTTTAGTTGTTTAGTCGTGTCCGACTCTCCATGACCCCCTGGACCAGAGCACGCCAGGCACTTCTGTCTTCCACTGCCTCCCGCAGTTTGGTCAAACTCATGTTTGTAGCTTCGAGAACACTAGATTCCTTTTTATCTCATTCCAACATTTTTCATAATTGTCTTTGTAAATATTGATATTTCTGCTTGTGAGACAAATTCCTAAATATTTAACTTTTTGTGGGTTTCTATTTCTGTAACTTGAGAAATGATTTTTTGTCTACTTCTTCTAAATTTTTAACTAATAATCTGGTTTTACTTTTCTTTAGTTTGAATACTGCTACTTGCCCAAACTCCTGGATTTTTTCTATAACTTTTGGAAGAGACTCTTTAGGCTCTTCTACCATAATTACAAGATTGCCTGCATAGCCTTTCAATTTATATGATTCCTTTAATATTTTCATCTGCCCTGATATTTCTCGCTAGGACTTCTAATACCAATATAAATAATAAAGGTGATAACGGAAGCATTAAGATAACTTCAACAGTGTAAATAAGTTTTGATGATGCAATAATGGACTACTGAATGGTTTAGTTCATATAAAATATGCATTGTGCAAAGTGAACCATGGAAAGAGAGGAAGGGAAGTGTGGCGATCACATTTGATGGTCTATTGATCCCGGTGCTACCACTGTGATTGCTTCCCCGCTGCCACCAACCCGTTTCTCTCAGGTACACACTGAGTCCAGACAGTTGTTAACATTAAATCAAATAAGCAAGTTTATTCTATAAGCATTAACAAGGTTATGGTTTCAGATAAATTTTATTGTCAGTTTCTTAATCTTAGTTGCTTTACTGACCCTTACCTTCCTAATAACTTCTAAGTGATTATTCCCAACTGTCTATCTGACTCCTCCTGTTTCTCTCACCCTCTCACATCAAAACTTGACCAACCCACAGACTTATCCTCCCTCTCTCTTCTCTAACACCTGACTGACTCCTCAACAACTCTAACTCTAACTCCTCCCCTTGGGTTCCCACTGGCCAATCGCTTCACACTCATTTAACCCTTTCCTTATGACCCACCTAGGAGGGCAAACGCCACAGGAAGTCATTGATATTTTAAGGTTGTTGAATATTATAAAATGTAAAGCAGATATATTTGTGTGTGTGTGTGTGCGCGCGCACGCACGCACACACGCTCAGAAACATACTGGGAGCGAGTGAAGATCCTTTAGGTATGTGTTGTTTAGTCGTGTCTGCCTCTTTGTGACCCCCCTGGACCAGAGCACGCCAGGCACTCCT